AATACAGCAAAAGTTAATGTAAAGAAACATATCATTGAAAATAAACCAAACCAGTGTGCGTTAGTGCAGCTTTAAACAACATAATCAGGTATCCATGTGAGCCAGTTGAGACTAACTTGGACATTCAGGGTGCTAATAATGCTAAAACAAAGTCAGTTAGTGAGCAAGAGCTGGAACTGTACAGACAAAGTGTGTATAAAACTCTGATTTAATTCTCTATTTATAGCGTCTTGCAGCAGTTGGACCAAAATAGCTGCACGATTCCTCATCCTCCAAACATTTAAGACGTTTGGAAAGTATGTGTGCAGAGGACTGCAGGTCAGATGAATTCAGTTCTCATCATTATTCCATTTAAGTTTGGTGTGAACAAGGAAATAAACTGTGACACTAATACATGAAGTGTTCAAACTGGCCTTCAGCAGATATCTGGAGTCAGAATGTCATTTATATGTCCTCCTGTTAAGCAAAAAAAAGTCAAATCAAGTCGGTATTTAGTGTTAAATTTCCTATTCTTGTTTGCATCCCTCAGCTGTACGTCAACACAAAGACAGAAGGTTAGTTTCATAATTTTTTAATTAGTTTCTCCTCAGATCAATGCCAATTTACTTTGTGGTCGAGCTGCAATTAATGAATATCTTCACTGTCAACTGATCACAGGTTTAATTAATTAGTTTATTAGATTGTTTGGTCTATAAAATGACAGAAAATAGTGAAGAAAGACGTCCTCAGTTATCTTTTGTATTCAGTTTATGTTCATGGAGGAGAAAATAAAACTGAAAAAAACACAAAGTGTAGATTTTTATGTTATTTTTATAACACAAATGTCTTGTTTTGCACCTCTGCTGTATCACTCAGTCTGTGTGGTCATTTTGTGGATCTTTGTGGTTGTTTTTTCTGGTATTAAATCTAATTTTGCATCACTTTTTTTATTCTTAATGAACAAAAGTTAAATCAAAGTTACCTTTAAGTTAAAAAAAAATGTTGATCCAAAGCCCAAGACAGCATCCCCACATGTCGTGTTCGGTCTATAACCCAAAGATATTCACTTTATTGTCACAGAGGAGGAAAGAAATCAGAAAATATTCACAATTAAGAAGCTGGAACGACAGGATTTAGATTTTTGTTCAGGTACACAAACTTATTATTTGATTATCAGACTAGTTGGTGATTAATTCAATATTTTGTGGTCGTTTAGCTTCACTTTGTGGTTGTTTTTCATCTCGTTATCGTTGTTTTGGTTGAATTAGATCTCATTTAGCATCACTGTTGTCGCTCTAAATCTCCATGGCCTTTGTTTCTCAAGTATTATATCTATTTTTGCATCACTTTTTGCTCTTTGCTGTTTATTTTAATGAGCAAAAATATTTTAAAAAAGGTAAATTCAACTTGAAAAATGTCGACCAGTGTTTCCCAAAACCCAGCGTAGACGTCGTCCTCTAAGGTCCTGTTCTGTCCACAACCCAAAGACTTTCAGTTTAGCTGGAATCTGAGAATTTAGACTCTTTTTTTTCTTTCAAAATTGCTCAGTTTGAAGCAAACCAGCTGGAAGTGATGTCATGGTTTACAGCTAATTGATTTATAAGTGCCGTTCTACTCTACGTGACACGCAAATGGAGAAGACGCGACCTCCAGAGCAAACACAGGTGTGCTTTAAGCTGTGGCGATGCCTGAATGCGCCGCCTGCCTCGGTGATGCCTTGACTCCACGCCGAGGGAAACATCCACAGACGGCAAACACTGCTGCAGGTTCTGGTGTTTGCCGGCTGCACGTTCACACAGGAGGAGCCGTGAAGGTCAGGCCTCATCCGCCGCTCGGCTTTGGCCCGACGGATGAAACAAAAGAAGGAATGTCTCATAGGTCTCCGCCAGCCTTGAGCCTGACTCTGTTCAAACCCTGCTGGACTCCAGCTGACCCCGTTTACATAAAGCAGGCGGGTTATTGCCCGGCTTCCACTTCAGGTTGGGGTTAGTGGGCCAAAGGAGAAATCGCTGCTTTACGACAAGTTCTCAAAGACGTGAAGATGCAGATATGACTCTGGGTTCCCGCGCTTTTCTAGAAATTAATCTTCAGTAACCTAAAGCCGGTCCAACATGGTTCCAAAGCCTTCAAACTGAATGTCGTTTACCACTGGCAATGATGATTAGATCAGTTTGATAAGGTTAGTTTTGGCAAAGCTACCATTTAGAAGCAGAACTTGGATCATTTCAGTCACATCTTTCAACCATCCGTCCACTTCCTGCTCATCCAGGTAGAGTTGTGAAGGCAGCAACACAAACAGCCCAAACCTCGTCGTCTTGGGGATATCGAGGTGTTCCGAGGCCAGCCGAGAGATATAACCTCCCCAGTCCATCCTGCTGGTTGGACGTCTCCAAAACACATCCAAGACAGAAGCCTGAACCACCTCATCTGGGTTCCTCTGATTCAGAAAGCAGTGGTTCCCCTGACTCTCACTCCATCTATAAACGTTACAACCATTTACCCATTACTTCTATTTCATGACCATTATGCTAACTATAGTGACCACTTATCCATTACTTTTAGCTATTCCATTACCATAATTCTAACTATAATAACAATTTAGCCCACATTTTCATAATTCAACCATTTATCCATTACCTTTATACACTTAAGTTGTTTATTTCTTACCGTTAGATAATATGAGCAACTTAAATCTGATCAATATTGATTTAAATAAGCATTAAATCCACTTCTAGCTAGCCAATTTCAATAGTTACCTAACAGTTAACTTACAGCTAGCTTTTAGGCAACAATTGAATCCATTACTTTAGCTAAATTTCCCTTTTAGCTATCCATTTCCATTACTTTTAGCTAGCTGATTCTTACTTTTAGCTATTTCCATGACTTTTGGCTAGCTGATCTTAACACAGGGCCGGTCCTGACCAATTTGGTGCCCCAGGCAAGATTGTAGTTTGCGCCCCCGAGCATCACAGTGAATTTCACTCCTAATTGTCATACAGTAACACAAACTGTATGCATGTATTCAAGCGTTGTTTAAGTATAAACAACACAGTACATGAAACTGAAGAAACAAGTCTTTGTGACACTCCCTGGCTAACTGACGTGTATTCAGGCAAATATTTAACCACAAGCGCCGATGCAGGTCCTCTACCGTCGTCTTCAGCCGTTAGCGAACGTCTTAGCTGCTAACGTTAGCAGCTAACGTCTTTGCTGCTAACGCTAGCAGCTAACGTCTTTGCTGCTAACGCTAGCAGCTAACGTCTTTGCTGCTAACGCTAGCAGCTAAGACGCGAACGTTTTCGCTAACGTCTTCGCTGCTAAGGTTAGCAGCTAAAACGCTAACGTAACGTCTTTACTGCAAACGTTAGCAGCTAAGACGCTAAAGTAACGTCTTTGCTGCTAAAAGTAGAGAAACTGCATCGGCGCTTGTTGATAAATACTTGCCTGAATACATGTCAGTTAGCCTGGCTAGCTTGTGGCGCCCCCCGTGGATGGCGGCGCCCTTAGCATTTGCCTATACTGCCTATGCCTAGGGCCGGCTCTGTCTTTACAAACCATGACTTTTAGCTAACTACTCCCTTGACTTTTACCTCTAATACCAACCTTCAACAGTTTAAAGACAGTTGACTTACCTTTTAAACTGACAAACACCACATGTGTAATTCACGGCATGTTTGAAACTAGACCTAAAACATATTTGTCTGCCGTGGTTCAACACTGTCCTCATGTTTTCTGACATAAGGTCCCATTGGGGTCCATCTGGGGTCCATCTTTATCCCAAGGTGACCATCTAAATATCCCAATTAACTCAACAATCTTCCTCCAGAACCACAGACTCCACCTTTCAGGCTTTAACTGGGATGTTTTCAGCCCTGAACAAGCAGCTACATCTGATTTTATACGTCTTTTATTGAAGCTATTGATCACCTGCATGCTGCGTTCAAAGCCAGCAGCTCTTCATGTGTTTCTCCGACTACCAGTCTATCCTCAGTCATCTGGTCCCACGACGTCGTTTCAGCTGCTGCACAGATCCGACAGCTTGCTAACGATTTTCCAGGATGACACAATGTTTTTCAGTGCATTGTCCTATTTCTGTCATTTCGCGTGTGTTTCCAGAACAGAAACTTTCCAGGGTTTCCAGTTTGTGCAGATAATCGCTGCACCAGTAGAACAGCTGCTTCGACACAAAACTACAGACTGAAAAATCCAAGAAGAAAACTCTCTGTGAACGTATAAACTCCTGGAGTGACTTTAAATTTTACCCACGAATAGATCTGATCTATTTGATTTGATTTAGGAGACGTATTACTTTGCATTTTCTCAGAAAACTCGTGTTTCTGGTACAAGCATATATGTATGAAGAGGAAGAAATAAGAGGTGTTTAGGATGTGAAATGTTCTTGGGTGCTAATAAAATGTGGTACTTTGACTAAAGGTCAGTCAGTTTCTTTCTAAACAAGTTTGAGGATTCACTAGAAACACAATCAGAGGTAAAGAAATGGTGACTTATAGTCGTGTCAAGCCTCAAAAATGCTGTTTCCTACATTTCCCATAATGCACTGCTGGGTTGTTGCTCATCAGAAGCTTCAGAAGACGTCACAGAAACCTTTTCTGCAGGTAAACCAACTTGTGGAAGTTTAACATCTTTAACTAAAGCCGTCATTATGAAACTTCCCCAGTGGACTGCTTCCATTTAGCCAACTCATCTTTGTATTACAAGTTTTGGGAACTTTTATAATCAAATATGCAACTGAGGTATTGTTTATTTAATTTGCATTATTTTTCCAAACAGACATCCAGACTTTAAATGAACCCAGCATGAAGATTCTTGTTTCATTTTGTTGACATATTACAGGAAAAGGTTTTCATGAAGGGGAATTTGGGATTTTTCTTTTTATGACTTCATAAATTGAAATTACTGTTGAAACAAAATCCAATTTCTCTCATTTTTCGACATAAAATGTGCCTAAACCCGTCTGTAAAAACCTTCAGAATACAAACTGGAATAAAACTGAACCTTTAGTGAATGTAGGTTTCAGCCTTTATATGTTTTATAATCAAAACCTACAAACACAAATAAAAAAAGCAGTAAAATAAACACCTGAATGTGTATTTTGGATTTTTCTTCTCAACTAGAAAGCATGTCATAGAAGCAAAATAACCCAAAACTTAACTAGAAAAACAGCGTGTTTTGTCTGAAGTCTAAGACTGAAGTCCTGCCAAACAGATGCTTCTCTGGACCTGCTGTCTGATTCTGATGATTCTGACCCGTTGCTGTCACACCTGCACATTCAGCATCTTCTGTGACACAAATCCAGAGAACAGACGTTGAACACTTTATTTCAGACGAGTGGTTCAGTTCCTGTTGCTTCTACACGATCTGACTGCAGCTCTGAAACCTCCAGAACACAAAACCCGGTTTACACGGAGGCAGAACCGACCCTTTAAAGACCCTGTTCAGTAACTAAACCAGAGTTCTACGGCAGGACGACAATCTTCTTCTCCAGCTTCTGCTCGGGGAAGATGAACCTCCTCATCACGTCGTCCAGCTCCTCCAGAGCCAGCTGAGCGTGAAGCACCGCCACCTCGTCCGGGTCCGAGCGAACCACCAGCTTCAGGGCCCGGTACAGGTCCAACAGAACCTCACTGAGAACCTGCACAGGACAGACACACACGGTAGGGATGCTTAGAATAAAGCAAAACATTAAGGCTCCAAAGCTCCAGATATTCGGGTCGGTCTCCGTCTCCTACAGAACCCTACAGAACCATCAGCAGAGTTATTTCCCTTCACTTCCCACTTCAGGCATTGCACCCAAATTGTCATAACGTTGGGAAAACGCTGCCAGTGAGTTTGGCAACCAGCTCTTGAGTTATTAACCTGCTGAACTCCAAACAGCTTCTGGCCGTTTTATTGCTCCCGTCACATTTCTCCTCCCTGTGGAATTTAAAGTCCAACACCTCTGTGGAAACAGAACGACCAGAAGCAGAGACAAGAACTCAGAAATGGCTTCTGTGCAGGACGGAACAGTTAGAATGACATAAATCAGAAACTGGGTCCACAATTGATACCAACACTGGAAAAAAGCGGTGATTCCACCCAGTATACATGTTTAACTACTGATGGTTTCACAGCATCTACAAACTTTTAAAGATGTTCCTCCATCAGCTGGATGTATCGTCCAACAACCTGCTCCTCTGTTCACTGGTTCCGAGCCGTGCTGCATTTATTTATTCATCACATATGTTGGACTTTCCTCTCTGCTCTGTGGAAACACTGCCTGCAGTTCAACCCGAACACTCTGTTAGCCACAACTGAGTCAGTCACGGCTTCTCAGTTGTGCTACAGAGGATCACGACCTGAGTGCAGTTTCTTTATTTTTTAAAGAAATGTTGTATGAGACTTGTAGAATAAGGTCATTTTGATGAAAAATACCAATTTGAAGCTTAGATTTGGACTTTTTCCAAAATTGTGTCACACATGAGTAGTTCAAGGACCACCGGAAAGTTGGTCACAGCTGAGTCCGTCGTGTTTTTGCAGTTGTGCCACAGAGATATTGATCAAATGTCACAATTTGAAGTTCAGATTTAAATGAAATGAAACTGTGCATCACATGTTTGAGAACAGCTGGGATGTTGAAAACCTACAGGTTCTCTATTTTTTACAGTTTCTGGCTAAAAAATTGTGTAAATTTTAACAGATAACTTTCACACGTTAGTTAAGAGCTGAGCTGTGTGAACTAAAATAAGTATTTATCTGGAATTTCTCCTTTAAAGTTTGGTAAATAAACACAGGAGGAGAAAGAAAAGATGTGAGTATTTCAGCAGTAACAGAAGAAGAAGTAGCAGCTCGTCATTTAACAGCAACATCACTGGTTTCCTGTCTCTTGTTCTTCACTACAACATGAAACCAGACGGTGGTTCTAACGGTACAAATGTTTCCCCAAAACGTTTCAGGAATCTTTACATCGACGTATTGGCTTCCTGCTGCAGAAACTCTGGAGCAGCCCAGATCTTGCTTGGTCCATCTCCAGCTCCATAATTTCCCGTCTCTGGCTCCAGCCTCTGTGCTCCGGTCCTCCAGGTCCTCCAGGTCCGTCCCTCTTTCTGTTCCCACGTCGCGGTGTGTCATTAACCCTGCAGCTGTCGCTAATGACAGGACCTGGACCGGGACCAGCAGCTGGACATCAACATCTGCGGTCGTCCAGCTTTTAAAAAAAAACGTCAACAACTTCCTGCAGCCGCTCGACAGCAAATCAGTGCTTTGTGTCTGAAATCCAACTGTTCAGCCAGTTTCACCGTTTAACAGAAGCGGGTCGGTGTTTTATGTCCAAGAGGTTTTAGAACGTTTGCAGAAGGAGTTCAGGCTGAGACGGTCCTCGTGTCTACATATACAACCACATGGAGTCCTTTCATGCTGCCGTCCTCTTCCTGTTTCTCTTTACATCTTCCTTCAGTCAGTTTTCTTGCTAAAAAAAAGCTGAAAACATTCCAGCTTTTCATGTTCCCTTTTTCCTTCAGTCAGTCCAAATACTCTGAACACTCATTAGACTGATCGCTCTCACAGCCAGAATCCATTTCATTCTTTCTCCAGTTTCTTAAAAACTACAAAATCTAGCATTGATTACAGATGTGTGAGATTAATTAGTTGGAAGCAGAAATCTTGTCAGTTAAAGAATTTCTAAATATTTTATTAACTCTGTGAAACCCAAAAACTTGCCGGCAGGTTAAAAAATAAATAAATAAAAATGAAAATAAATCTATTATTTAAAAAAAAAAAAATTAAAAGTAAAGAAAAAACAAGTAAAAAATAAATAATAATAAAAAAAATGATAATAATAAGTTGCCAAAATTCCACTATTTACCAGCGAGAAACTACAAAAACAGAAACAACTAAAGGATTTTCAGATTTTCCAAAAGGTCCTTGAACTACTCATGAGTAAAGCGCGAGAAAACTTAACTCGTCCCAGTTGAACATGAAGCTTCTAGTTAGTTTTATTTATTCATTTTTTGTGTAAAATCAAAATAAAATATTTGGAAAAATGTCGATTTCAGGTTTTTTTTGTTTTTGTTTTTTTCTTCCTAGTTTTTGTTGGACAAATAATCCAATAAATTAAACTTTCATTTATTCTTTTGTCAGGATTTATGGCCTCATAACTGTCAAACTGCACATTTCTGAATTCTCTCTACTTCTTCACTCTGTTTCCATAGAGATGCAGGACTTTATACTGCAGTGAAAAACGATCAAACAGTGAGTAAAAACGTGACGGAAAACCCCCAGAATCCACTCAGAGTCGATCTTTACAGCCCCTAACTTTGCCTCCTGTAGCTCTGAGCGTGTATGTGAGTGTTTTTAAAAGAGCTAAAACAGAAGCGACTCATTTATTTGCTGTTTTTAGTGTAACTTTAGTGGATGTGAAATTAAAGATGACAGTTTTATTAATTGGTTCGGTCCCCACATAGCGACGCCGTGACACCACAGATCTGCTCAGAGGTTTAACAGTTTGAGTTTGTTTCCAGTGACCTGATCGTTCCTGCATCAGCGTTTCCATCCTCCGAGGCCAGAGGAGCGTGACGCCATTAACCGGGATCCTGCCGTCGACTATCTAAGAACAACACTGGAGTCAGGAATGTGAAACTGTGAGGAGGAGAAATCTGCTGCGGCTCTAAACACAGTGTTCAGGCTGATTCTGCTCGCTCCGGTTCAGCCTGTAATCGCAGCGATGACCACAGGGGAGGTGAGGCTGGATTAGAGGACCTGTCAGGCTCTGTAGCAACAAGCCCTCGCCCTCACAAACACCTGATTCAACCTGAGCACCAGCCGGACCAAACACAGCGTCTTCTTCATCCTCGCTGTCCACTCTCACCTTTCAACCCCGTTCCTGTCGCACGAGTGACCTTTCAGCTCCACGCCGGAGCAGCTGATGGAAAATTACAAGCCGCGCTGCGTTCAGAAAACAGCCGTCGAGCTTTGTGAGTCCGACGGGGAAAACAAACACTCAGTGACTGATTTAGTTCCACCTGAAGGTCATTCTTGACCCGAAGCTCAAGTTCAGCTCATGAGGTCTTGATGAGAACCTTTAAAAAGACACAAGGTGACCCGGTTTTTATTCATTTATCTCATCAGGGGGATTTAAACCTCGTTTCAGAACACTGTCTGGAATTTTATCTTTAGTGCTGGTCCACTGTGTCGCTTTGCTTTGGAAGGTTTTGTATAAATAAAGAACATTAGAAGTTATGTTACTATAAAATGCACAGCAGTAGTTTTCCTGTTACACTGAAAAACTGTTAAAAAATGGTTGAATACTGTAAAGTTCAAAAACTATTTAAATCTTCTTTATTTATTTTTATATTATTTATATATTTATTTATTAATTTCCCTTCTGGGATAAATAAAGTATTTTTCATTTCATTTGAATATCTGTAAAATAATGATATTTAAGCTAATTTAAATGCAGTAAGACTGTAATTTTATGGTCAAACGCAGAACAAGAATGAATTATTATTTATAAAAACACCTTTTTAAATTTTTTTTTATAGTTTTGACCTTTTTTTTCTTATATTTAACTTTTAAATTAAAAATTTTCTTTCTGTGATTTTACTCAATACTATCTGTCATTTACCAAAACAGGGAAAAAGCTGTAAAATCACAGTAAAAAGTAAAAAATTATTACTTAATCCTTATCTTATTTTTTTTTGTTCGAATAACTGCAGGCATCAGTAAAATAATGATTTTTTTTTTTTAGGAATTAAATACAACAAAAGCTACTGTAATTATATATTATAATTATTAAAATACCCTCTTTGGCATTTGAAGAAACTAAACCCGATGCTCCACAACCCAACCAAGACTTTTTAAGACATGAAGTCACCCTGATCTGTGGCTTGACTTTGTAGGACGGTGAACCTACCATCAAGCACGGTGGTGGCAGCATCATGCTCTGGGCTGTTTTACTGTCACTGGCTTTACACAAAGTAAACAGACTAATAAAAAAGGAGGATTACCCTAAAAATTCTTCAGGAAAACCTAAAATAATCAGGCAGACTTTAGTTAAACTGCACCAATTCTGTCAGGAGGAGAGTCAAAGATAAACCAGAAGCTTGTGGACAGAAAGATGTCTGTGAAGATTCCCAGTCATCCAGGTCATGGTTCTTCTCGTAGATTAATCGTAGCAGCTGGACTCAGCAGTCCACCTGCATCTTCAGGACAAAGGACACTCATTTGAAGACAACAACGAACAGATGTTGGCCAGAGAGGACGGATGGTTTGAGAGAAGAGTGAAAGAAGCCATCTAACTGGAAAGACCATCCCTCAGCAGAGGTGGAGGTCTGAGGCGTCACCTCTCACCGGTTTACAACTCAGTCCTAAGATCTCCCCCCAGGAAGATGAACCCACATCCACACCCAGCCCTGAAAGACCCGAACGAACCCCACTGTGGCAGGAGGAGCGCTAACGACTCACATAACGAGGGGGAGGAGCAACAAACCCACATATCAGTATGTGGAACTCCCAACTAGTCAGTCAGAACTGATGAAGCCTCTTGGATGAAACGTCTTCAAGGAACTCAAGCAGGTCCAGTTGCTACGATTAAACTACCAGAATTGTGGACAGAAACCAAAAGCGCCTAAATGAGGTGAAAAGAACATTTAATGAATTATTAGCGTTGTTGTATGTATATTTTTGACCAAGTAGATTTTGTCACACTTCCAGAAGATCTATAATAAATATTTTTTTGCGTGACAAAGACGCACAACGTGTTTCTATAATTAGCAGCATAGAAAAATAAAGTCGAAGCATTCACTGGAAACTCAAGACTGCCAAGATGCACATGGTCTTCACAAGTGTATGTAAACCTTTGTACATGAGTGCATGTATGATTCCTACAGGAGGAGAAAAGATGAAGCCTTTAGCCACAAGAACACCAAACCTACCATCAGGCACGGAGGTGGCAGCATCATGCTCTGGAGCTGTTCTGCTGCCAAAGTAACTCGGACAATGAAGAAGGAGGAGGATCACCTCCACGTTGTTCAAGAAAACCTCAAACCATCAGCAGAAGGTTGATTCTGGATGCAGCCGGATGTTCCAACAACATAATGACCCCAAACAACCATCACAAGTGGTGAAGAAATGGTTCAACCAGGCTGGAATGAAGGTTCTAGGCTGGCCTTCATAAAGCTCCACATCAACCCCATCAAGAAATGTGTCGGAAGAAGCCAACAATATGATCTGAACTGCACCAGTTCTGTCAAGAGGAGGGTCCAAGATAAACCAAAGGAAACCAAAAGAGCCCAGTGGAGGTGAAAGTAGCCAAACGGACATCAAACTAAATATTAGCATTGCTGTATGTAGACTTTTGACCCAGCAGATTTCATCATACTTCCAGAAGATCTGTAATAAATCTATGACAGAACCAAGATACATGATGCACCAGTGTGTTTGGGTTCAGTTGTGAATGTATGCGGGTGTACCTGTGTGGTTTTGTCGCTGAGGCCTCGCAGCAGCTGGGCGATAACGTGGACGGCGGCTCTCCTCACCTCTGCCTCTGTTTCAGTCTTTATCAGAGCCGTCAGACAAGAGCTCAGCTGCACAGAAACACACAGAAACACACTCTCATAGGTATTTACAGAGATCCAGGTCAGCGAAAAGGCAAAAATAGAGCTCGTGAGCATCTTGGAAACAAGGACACAGAAGCCAGGCGGCATTAAAAAACCCCAATAGTGCTTCATTTAAAAACCTGAATGAATTACAGGCTGTTGTTCAGCACTAATGACCAGAGTGTGGAAACACGTTTGTCAGCTGCAGGTCTCCACCGAACCGAACCGGATCGATGGAGGTTATTGGTCAGACATCAGAACCGGCGCGGGCTCGGCGAACGCGCCAACAGAGCCGGTCAGTGTGAGAAAAGTGTGCAGGTTGATGAATAAGCATCCTGTTCCTGCCGCTGACAGTGCTGCTCATTCATGCCAGCAGGCTGCAGCGAGCACAAACTCGCACACAGCAGCAGCTTTTCGTCGAGCCGCTGACCGCTGCAGCAGCCGAAAAACCCCACATGTGTGACTGTGGGCGGCGTTTCCACCGACTCGGATCAAAGTCAGCGAGATCGAACTGCCCACACAGGGTTCAACAACATTTAACACGTCTGAAGCTGGTGCCTGGATCCTTCTGAGTGTCCCATCAGACCCGGTTCTGGAGTTTGTTTGATGGGAATGAAAATGAGAGAAATCCTGAATTATTTAATTTACAAAAAAAATAAAAAATAGAATAAACATGTACACTAATTTTCCAAGTGTCCACATGTGTTACCAGTGCTGGAAAAAAACTCTATAGATATTTTACTGTTCATATTTTCACACCCTGCTCTGCACATCGACTTCACAGAGATGTTTCACCATGCTGGAGGTGTCTCCAACAACTAGTGGAGCTCCACGGTTCTCTTCCTCATATCTTGGCTGATTTCTTTAGACGTTCCACAAAAGGAAGCAGAGTGTTTGACGTGTGCCTCCAATTAACTCAGATGTTGTCAATAAACCAATCAAAAGCCTCCAAAGCCGTGACATCATCACCTGGGCTTTCCTAAATTGTTTGAAGGCATTTTGGTGGACGTAAACTTCTGACTTTGAACAAAGTAATAAAACATTCTCCTTCTCATTATTCTGGCGTTTAGCAAATAGAAATAATTTTGTAAATCCTAACTGACCTGAAACAGTAAAAGTTTAGTCTGATTTAATGACAGACAGTAAGAAAAAAAAAAGATTTTTACGTCTTTTTAAACAGTAAACATCTGGTTTCAACTGTTTATTCTGATCTGATTCATGTCCAAAGAAGCTGGAAGCTGTTTTGCTGTTTTCCATGTTCAGGATTTTGGATTTTTATCAGATTAATTGCTAAAAAACAACAAACAGAGCTTCTAAATTATTTTATTTATAACCATAATAATCAGATTTTATGACAAACTGAAGAATCAGGAGTCAAAACAGCTCTATTACTTTTATAAAAACATATTTTTCATGTCAATAATTCTCACTGATCAGATGCTGCAACACTGTTAACGTCTCCTACAGTCGATACAGTAAACCTGTGTCTTCATGTCCTTGCCTCACCTCCTGAGCCAGCGGCCCCACAGCGTAGTCCAGCCTCCCACAGAGCTCCCCCAGGTTGGACAGGCTGCTGGCCCGGACGCTCTGATCCGGGTCTCTGGTTCCCTGCAGGAAGACGCCCAGCAGAGGACGGCCGAGGTGTGGAGCCAGATCTCCTGCAGGAGGAAGAACAAGCGGATTAGAGCAGTCAGTTCTCAGGATTGTTATTCATCAGGTTGTCTTCTATGTGGTTCAGTGGCTGAGGGACGCCGTTGTTCTCTGTGGGAAATCTGCAAAATCATGTCACAAGAACATCTTTAAAAAAATATGTAGCTATCGAGAGCTGTAGCAGTTTGTGTTAGCGAGTCAGGAGTCTCGAGGAATTTCCATTTCTAACTCTAATCAGAGCCAGTGATGCCGGATGAGGCGAGCTGGTAGAGTGCATTTGGTGCATTTGTGCCTGATTCACTTCATTTAGCTCAAACAGATTTATTGTCCCCTGTGATTAATCTGTTGCTTGAAGACTTTGTACGATTAGAGTCCGTTGTTGTTCCTCAGCTGCTCCTGGTGTTCAGTTTTACTAAGATAACTTACTAGTGGTGCTTTTTCTTTTTCTTTACATAAGTTAATGTGAGAAAAAAGGCGAATAGTTTAAACCCAACAGCCCAACTGTGGCTGAAGGTGAACAGAACTCAAATGTCTGCTGTGTATGACGACAAAAGAAAACGAGAAAATAAGTTGAATTTCTTTGATTATTTGTGTTAAAAAATATGGAGAAAATCTGAAATCAATACGTCCAAGTGTCCACAGGTGTTACCAATACCGGGAAAAAACCCACAAAACAAATGATGCTCAATGTGCTATAGATACTCAACTATTTATTTACTGATTCTGAAATCTGATTCTGATTCTGATATTTTATTAACTTCATCAGCTGTAGAAGATGTTCCACCATCAGCTGGATGTATCTCCAACACCTTCATCCTCTGTTCACTGTTTCTGAGCCGTGCTGCATTTATTTATTGTGGTATTTTTGCAGTTTTTTTTGTCTTATTTGTGCTGTTTTGTCTCTCTTGGGGACAGTTTTGTCTCCTTTCAGTTGCTTTGTGTCTCATTTATGTCATTCTGTGTCTTATTTGTGGTGGTGTTTTCTCTCTTTGTGGTCCTTTTGTCTCCTCATACTGCCTATGCTGAAATATCTCCATGCTTTCAGCCTCTACAGACTTTTCCTCTCCGCTCTGCTCATCAGCTGTAGAAAGATGTTCCACCATCAGCTGGATGCATCGTCCACTGTTTCTGAGCCGTGCTGCATTTATTTATTAATCCAGTTTATATTTTATTTCTTTTGCAGCCTAAAATTGTGCAAAGTGATTCGAAACTTGTCCAAAGTCACATTAAAATGTCCAAAAACGAGTCAAAAATGGTCCAAAATAACTCGAAAACTGCCCACAGTGGCCTCAAATTAGCTCGAAATGACTCGAAATTTGTTCAAAATGACCATTTTTGAGACATAACAGACCGTTTCTAGTCCAGTTTTGAGTCCTTGCACATCAGCTGTAGAAAGATGTTCCACCATGTTGGATGTATCTCCAACAACCTGCTCCTCTGTTCACTGTTTCTGAGTCGTGCTGCATTTATTTATTGATTCAGTAGGTTGGATTTTCCTCTCTGTCTCTCTTGTCGTCTCCTCTCTACACTTATGTCAAAGTTTTTGTTGTTGTTGTTGCTTTATTTGTTTTATCAGACTTGCAGAATTACGCGGTTTTACTGAACAACCATGATTCAAAGCACAGATGCAGTTAATTTTCCAAACTGGGCGTCACAGATGAGTCGTCTAGTGACCGTCGGAAAGTTGAAAATCTGATCTGCTTTCAAAGTTTTTTGTCTGAGATCACACGTCGTAGGTTTTTGGGCTTCAAACTGTTTTTTAAACCACGCTGTGCTGCCGGTGACCTCGTCGTCACTGCTCCACTGTGACACGAAGATAATCTCACTGCTGAGACGCTTTTTGGAAAACAAGATGCAGCTCAGACTCGAGTTCAAAGCACAACAGGCAGACAAAGTGTCGCAGTCTGAGCCTCTGAGAGAACAACAAGGAGCTTTAATCGATCCTTTCAAATCCACATCTTGACACAAGACTAATATTGTTTCTTACAGTGCAGTCGTACTTTACCACCAGCTGTGTGTTTGTGCGCGACACTGCTTCATCGGCAGACACACAAAGAACAGAGTCGGCTACAGCTGCTCCTGCCAAGCAGCAGCGAGTGAAGCCAGCAGCCTCCATGGAGAGGAGGCGACCAGCTGACCGGCTGCTGGTAGTAAGACCTGCCTGACCCCCAGAGTGTTACAGCTGCTTCTATCTGCACACGCTCAGCATCCCGATCCAGGCAGCCTGTCCTAGATTTACCCTTCCCTCAGCTCAGACGCTCCCCCCTTCGTCTCCGGGCCTCAATAGACGGTCACGGCTCTAATGGAGCTGAAGAAAAGGAGTCGCTGTGTTTGTGTGTTAGCGTGAGTCAGCAGGAGCATCGGCCTGCGTCATAACTCCGCACATTAACATGCAACACAGCTGGGACGACTGACGCAGCCCGGCCACAGCTGCACAAACCTGCCCCTTCCTGTGTATGCAGATGAGCTTTACGTCTCCCGCTGCAGAGCTCTTCCCCTCCTTTCTCACCGAGGGGCTACCAGGAGCGAGCCAGCGCCGAGCCAAACATTCATTTACTAAACATTTACTCAACCAGACGAGTCAATTAAGAGGACCTTCGCATTTGCAAGCGACGGCCTGGCACAAGACGAATCTCGGAGGCTTCCAGACAAACACAGCGGCTCTCTGGGTGTCTGCGCAGCGAACTGAAGCTCCGTCCAATATCTCGGCGAGGACATAAACCCCCCGATTGTCCCGGAGAAGTGGTACGATGGCAATCTGGCACATTAAACTGAAGCGGGGTGGGGGGGATAAACCAAAACAGGGGTTTGTATCAGGGACAGGTTGTGATACACAGGGACCCTTCTGATGGAAAACAAGCCGACGACTGTGGTGTCGGCGCTGCACACTGATCACAGGCAAACATACATGTAAACACACATACGGGCACAAACAAGCACGTTTTATTGGTTCCTGCAGCGTTTACCATGAACAGAAAGTCAGAGTTTGTGAGCTGTTCTTTAAACGCAGCTGTAAATAAATCTGCAGCTGCATGTTGAGCTCAGTAATATATGTATATACACTAGGGAGCGACCGATACGGGTGTTTGTAGGGCCGATAGCGACGCTGATTATTGGCATCAATATACTTTAAATGTAATAATTCAGCAGCGTGCGATAGCAGAGAACCCGTCATTCATAACTATACTTCTTTATCAATAAAGGAGACGACAACAGAATAAGTAAAATAGAAATAAAAGTGGTTAAATTCTGATATTTTTTATTTATTATGAGATTTATCGGTAGCTACGTCCGCTGTTCGACTCTATTTTATTAATATTTTATCACTTTAATTGCTCACTAAGGCCCAGATCTTAAATCATTATTACTTCTAGTTTTCCAGATTCTGTTTCAGGTTAATCTGTGGCTGCCTGCTAACTTAGCCGCTAGCCGTTAGCCTTAGCCACTGTGAGAGCAGCTAACTTCCTGGTTTGTAGTTTGTGTTTCAGTGTTTTTCTCAGACCACAGAGTGACGACAGACGGAGAGAGGAGGCTGCATCACACCTGACGTAGCTCATTTTATTTATCAATAATCAGCCAATAAAAACACAGATAATCAGAGAAATGAAGCGTTAGCATGACCAGTCAACAGAGTGCATGCTTAGAGCTGCAGCACATTTAGAAGAAACCCAAATCGAACTCTAAATTAGATATTATCATCTAAAAAAACTTTGGATTTGTTGGGTTTCTTGGTTTAAAATTGTCCAATTGTACCAACTCTTTACCGTATTATTTAAAGTGCGTGAGGCGACATATGTTGTGAATTGCAGCGTTATAAATAAAACTGAATTCATAAGTTGTTATGTTTACACAGACGGACATCCGGCAGATGCAGATCAACACTGGTTTGTATTTAAAGTATTAATGTGTCGTCCAGAGGAAGGCAAATCTAAGTTTCACTTTCCTTTTTGCTCCATTTTTGGGCTCCACCAGCCTCCTGAGAAACACATCTCACTCTGTAGCTGATAAAACCTTCAATATTTTCATCAGCTCGTCTCTAATTGTACCTGCTGCTGCTGAAAACGAGACGGTAAAACTGAAACAACAAGCTAGCTAACAAGCTAACAGATGCTAAAGAGCTTCACACTGTGGCAGCTTCATGGTCGAAGTTCGATATTCAGAGCAGGCTAAGAAACAAAATACATAAAATTATAAATCTGTCATATGTTTGGGGAGTATGTTTCAGTTTAACTTTTAGACCCTCGTCAGCTCATTTTTCAGCAAACATAATTTGCTTTCTTCCCATTTTTTAATGTTAAAATACTTTTACTCTTTTTTTTTTTTAAACAGTATTTAGCTTCTCTTTTCCAGAAGTGATATGAATATGTTCAGATGGTCTGCTCCCAGATTATTATTATTATTATATCAGCTTAAAATAATGGTTTAATATGCAGCTTATCCTAGTTTTTTTTTATGTTAGTTTAGAATTTATTTAGGCTAATGAAGCTAGCAGGTGGAGCATTGCACTGTGTTCCTTTTAATTCATCTTCCAAATCGATTCGTTGAAGCACGATTTCAGTCCACCGAGAGTTTACTTAGTTCACTACAGACCTGCATTCTTGAATTATCCCTTTAAGCAACAACGTGGAGGAGAATCTGCATTTACAGGTAATCAATTCTGGTTCTTCATCTCATCAACTTTCACGGGGGTCAAACAAACACGATGCTCACCCATGGCCCTGCTCGCCCTCATCAGCACCTCGCCCAGCTTCAGCCGGGTCTCCAGGGAGCGCTGCTTGTCGGACGAAGGCAGCGAGGGTCCGTGTTTGAAGTCTCTGAGGAGCCTCTCCAGGATCCTGTCGGGGAACGAATCAGCCAGAGAGGCCAGACCTGCAGACACAGTTTACGCTCAGTCCATCTGCCACCGACCACCGATCAATCCATCTCAAGTGGTCACGTGTCTCAAACTATTTCTGCTCAGCCGTCTCTGATTTGCGTGAAATTTTTGCAGCATAAAATATGGATATCTATGAAGATATTTGTGAAATTACAGCTTGATATATGAAACACTTTCTGAGATAAAAGGTTTTTAAAAATCGCCCGTCGACCCACTTTCAGCAGGTTTTTTTTTTTCCTCACGTGGAAATTTGAGGCTTTTTGAACAATAATATCTCAGGAACAAAAAAAGATAAAAACCTGAAATTTTCACTGTTTCTTCTCATCATGTTATTGATTCAGAATCTGTGATATTAGACAGGCAGATCAAATAAGCTATGAGTATGGGTTCCTGAGATATTGTTGTTCAAACAGCCCTCAAACCTGAATGTGCGGCCGATGGGCAATTTTTTAAAACTGTATTTAAGATATCAAACTAAAAATTCACACAAATCCCTAAAAAAATCTGTAGTTTACGATTTAAAAAAATGTTTCAAGCAAATCAGAGATGGTGGAGCAGAAGGAAGGAGGTGATTTGAGACAGAAAAACCCTCCACAATGTGCATTTTTAGGTTACCTTGGATGGCTGACAGGTAAACGAACGAGTCCTCGTGCTCCAGATTTTCCAAGAAGAGCTGCAGAAGAGACACAAGACCAGCAGAATTAATCACCATCAGCACCAGTGGAACCAGAGAGGATCAATACTGGAGCACATTAAAGACGACTATCAAAGGGAATAATCAGCGTGACGGGGCGAAGGTGGGGGAGAAACAGGCAGAACATATGACAGGTGGCCGCCGCAGTTTGAGAAAACTCAACCAAATCCAAGAAAAAAAAAAATCAATATGGGGGGTTTGTGGGGTAACAGCAGGGGTCTGAAGAGGGGCTCTGGATTACAGAGAATACCAGATGAGTTTGTTGCCCTTCTGATCACCTTAACAAGCCCCAGGAGGGCAGCAGCGCCCCCTTCAGCTCCCCGAGGAGGAGCTTCAACTGCCTCATCTATTATAAATGTCTCAGGAGGAGCCGGTGATACAAGAAGAAGAAGAAGAAGAAGAAGAAGAAACCTGGACCTGGTGCTAAACTTCTCCTCAGAACTCCACCTGTTCAGCTGCACTGAGCAGCGACGACGCTCACAAGAAGAGAGGTTTACTTCACTTCAAAAAGAAAAGTACGACATAAGATGGAGAACGTCCCACTTGTGGATCCATAACTAAACAAGGCATAGAAATCAGATTAAATAAAAGAATTGAAAAATTAGAAATGCATGAAGGAAAAATGTATAAAAGCTGTCCAGATGCACGATAAACACAGTTTAATCCAACATTTTTCACACTGAATGCCAAATTTTGGTTTGAAATTTTAGACTTACTTAGACAAATGTGAACTATTTTTGTGTTAGGGGGTTAGGATAGGTTAGGGTAGAAATGATCATGAGTATAGAAGCTGCATGTTCTTTAAAAAAAAAAAAAAAAAAGGGCAGGGGAATATATGAATATTTTTGGACATGGTAAAAAAAAAACAACATAGAAAAAGTTAAAAGTTCAACATTAACATCGCCAACACAATGTCTTCATGTCTTTTGTCACTTGTTAACGTCATTTCCGGCAAAAAGAAACCTGATGGTAAAATAAAAACTGACTATAAATCCACATTTTTCATTGGAATGAATACTGTTGGGGCTTAACTACTTGTTAAAGTATAGTTTAAAATGTTTGTGTACCAAAAATACTCATGTCTAAATCCTGTGTGTCTACTTTATGATTTTTCTTTCTCCCAAAAAAGTCTGATGTGGAAGACAGTAATGAAAAACTACAAAAAGCAGACGTACAGACCTGGTCGACTCACCATGAGGACTGTCTTTTGTGCCTCTGAGAAAATAACAGCGAAAGTTTGTCTTTTGTCTTTAATAGTTTCTGAGATATTGTCGCTCAAACAGCCTCAAATGTCAATGTGAGAAAAAAACCTGCTGAAAGTGGGTCGACGGACGAATAAAAAGCAAGAAAAATCTCTGAAAGTATTTGATGTATTACACTAAAAATTCATAGATATTTCTTTAAATATACGTAGTTTATGATAAAAAAAAGTTTGGAACCAATTTAGAGATAGTTGAGCAGAAACCGGTAAATTGTTAGAAATAGTGGTGAAAAACTACAAATAGTGAATTTTCAGAACCGGTCAACTCACCACGAGGACTTTCTCCTGATTCTGGACGGCTTCTGGGTCTCCGTGTTGCACCCTCTGGTTCAGGACCCTCAGGGCGAACGCTCTGGTCGGCACGTCCGGGTCGCACGCCTCCAGCAGCCAATCAGAAAACGGCTTAGCAGGCGGGTCACTGGTGCCACTTCCTGCAGAGGATGCTGGGGGTTTGCCGACAGGCGTCTTTGCTTCGCTGGTGTGGTTTGCTGCTGATTCGGGGTTCCTGGAGGATGAACCGGCGGCAGCGGCGGTGAGGTTTTCAGGCCGGTAGGCGCCGTGAGTAGCGATGACAGCTCTGAGGTTGGACGCCAGCTCCTGGACGACGACGTCCGGATGCCGCTGAGACAAAGTCTGCAGCGGAAGGAGGAGCTTCGACATGGACGAGTAGTCGTCTGCACCGAGCTGAGACGAGACGGGAAACAGAGGAGGCCTTCTGTCAGTTTATATTTAAACCTCTGAAACTGTTCAACCTGATCTGAACGCTGAATAAATCCACTTCCAAATCACACTCATGTCAGATTATTGGTAACACCGGTGGGCACCTGGACATGTGGATTCCAGATTTATTTTTATATTTGTTTTGTTTGTTTGGTAACATATCGGGTAGTTTGAAAAAATGTTAGAGATGCTGTTTTTGTTTTTTTCAATCCTTGTAATGATTCATGGACAGTTCTGAGTTCTCACTACTTCTTCATGGTTGTTGTGTTTTCATAGAGGTGCAGGACTTTATATTCTAGTGAAAGAAAAATGAGCAACAAAACACCAAGACACTGCTTGGACTCCAGAGATTTAAACCTCTAATTATCTTTTCTTGAGGTAATTAACACTTCAGACCTGTTGGTTTCCACACATACGAGGACCTGAAGAACATGAAACATGCAGCTGAAGGTGGATTTCTACCTGAGGTCCAGACAGCATCGTGGCCACCAGACCCATCCCCATGCTCAGCGTCTGGCTCTCCACCGGGTTCCCAACGCGTGGCCCAGTGGCCTGATCGAGGCCCACACAGGCCCTCTGGAGGAGCGACACCATGAAGTCCACCACCTGCAGGGAGGACGAACGGAGGCCAAACATTTAAAAGTGTTCCAGCCAGCGGAGCTCTAACAACTCCAACACTCGGTCCTTATAAAGGCTAAAAGTGAGACATTACCCGGCGAAGTGAGGCCAGTTTATCAGAGACTTTACAGCTATTTTAGTGTAACGGCATGACTCAGAGTGGCCTGCTTCCATTTAAACAACTCCCCGAGGACCGCGGGCCGATTTTAAAATATGCTGCAGGAGGAGAGGCGTGATCCTCGGAGGCCGAGCCGACAACAACCGGGCAGCTTCCTGTCTCATTAAACGCAGCCGTTAAACAATACGACACGAATCCAGGACACAGAAACCGTCACAACCAGGTCACATGTTCTAGCTGCACATGCTGCTGCAGCACAAGGTTACAACAGGTACCACTGGTAGAGCACCTGGAGGCTTCAGGAGAAAGCACCTGGACCTCTCTTTTAGCATCTTCAAAACGCTTCACCTCCAATCTGAAAGTCTTCTTTAAAGATTAAGAAGCCTCTTCAGTGAGAGGTGAGACAATGAGGTTCTTTTAGGTTATGGAAGACACTACAGTTCAGAAGAAGCCTCTTGAATAATAGGTGAGAAAATAAAGTTCTTTCAGTTTCTTAAGGACGTTTCTTGAAGAAGCCGCTTGGATAAGAAGGAAGAAAATCAGGTTCTTCTGGGTTCTTGAAGATGTTTTTTGAAGATGTTTCACCTCTAATTCAAAAGAATTCTACAGAGTCTAAGAAGAATGAGAGGTGAGAAAATAAAGTTCTTTTAGCTTCTTTCTTGAAGATGTTGCTTGAAGAAGCGTCTTGAATGAGAAGTGAGAAAATTAGGTTCTTTTCGACTCTAGAAGACACTTCTTGAAGATGTTTCACCTCTCATCCAAAAGGCTTCTTCAGAACTTTAGAAGCCAGTGAAACAAGTGAGAAAATTAGGTTCTTGTAGGTTCTTGAAGACGTTTCCTGACGACGTTTCTTGGAGAAGCCACTTGGATGAGAGGTGAGAAAATTAGGTTCTTTTGGATTCTTAAAGATGCATCGTGAAGATGTTTCTGGAAGAAGTTTCTTGAAGAATCCTACCTCTCATCCAAAAGACTTCTTCAGAACTTAAGAAGTCTCTCAAACGAGAGGTGAGAAAATGAGGTTCTTTTAGGTTCCTGATGACGTTTCCCCTCTTGAAACGTCTTCAAGAACCTAAACGAGAAGTCCAGGTGCTTATTCCTGAGGCTTCTAGGATTACCAGGACCTGGATGTCTGAGAATCAACACAGACTCACTCGTAGAGAACCTTATGTTCTGCACCATGTTGGCTCCACAGCTGGAGTTTCCTCACCTGTGTGGTTTTCCTCAGCAGCTCGGTGTGCTGTAAACACTCCACCATCACGGCCAGAACCTGCAGCAGAACCAGCCTCTGGGCTCGTCTCTCGGCTCCGCCCAGCTGCTGCTGCTCCACCTCCAGCAGCGTCATGGCCGACACGTCCGGCTGCTCTCCGTCCTTCGCCTCTTCATCGTCGGCTGCAGCCGCCCAGCTGGTCAGCTCCTGCAGGAGGAACAACAGCAGCTCAGGTTCTGCAGCAGAACAAACACCGGACCACAGACTCTGATCCACCTAAAGAACAGTGAAGCCTCCAAAGCTCAAATAATCATTTCATCGAGTTGTGAAGACCTCCTCGTAGCGCTTTATCCCAGAAGAACTGTGCCTGTGGTTTCCAAAACAGACTGAAGCTCCTGCATTGAAGAAGTGATTTAACCCTCTGAAAATCATAAACCGGCGAATGGATTTAAAAATGAATGTTACTTTAAAACAAAACTCCTCAAAGTTACACCATTTATCAGCTACAAACTGCAAAAACAAACACAATCAGTGCATTTTCAATTTCCAACAGTCTTTCAAGTACTCATGTGTGAACAAATCTAATCTTAAAACCAGATTTTACAAAAAAATCCCTTTATTCTACAAAAAATCCTCCAAAAATAAAAGCATGTGCACTAATCGGATTCTGCGAAAAACAAAAAATTCTGTGCTTCTTGCTGCATCTAAAAAAGCAGCGACCGACTCAGATGTGACCGACGGCCACGTGGTAAAAATCCTGAGAGTTTAAGGCTGAACTGCAGGCAGTGTCACAGGTGAGACGAATAAAAAATGTAAACAATAAAATATCTACAGAATTCTGCAAACTGTAAAAACAGAAAGAATCTAATGATGTTCAAATTTCCACCAGTCCTTGAACTAATCATGAGTTAAGTGGCAGAAAACTTCACTTTTTGCCAGTATTGGTAACACCTGTGGACACGCTTAATCCAGGTTTTTTATTCAATTTTTGTGTATATAGTCAAAATAACTGAACTTTAAAAATAATAATAATAATGATTTCTGTCATTTTAACTGTGTCATGCTGCTCTGTAGACATTCCTGAGTTCTCTCTCTCATTTTTTATGGTTGTTCTGTTTCCACAGAGGTGCAGGACTTTAAATAAGACTGAAAAATGAGCCAACATTGTGGGAAAAAATGTGACAACAGCAAAATAAAACTCAGAAACTGCTGCTTGGAGATCAGAGGGTTAAAGCAAAAGTACCACAGGAAGGAAGTCAGTGCAGAAAAATGTCTCCTCTGATTATAAGACCATAGATTATATCTCTTATAGATTAGTTTTACTTGTGTATTTATGTAAAAGCAGGACTGTTGTAGTGGCTCTAAACCTCCACAAAAGGCTTCAAACTTTCCTTCCTCATATCTCCCGATGACCCTGAACATCCCTTAGTCATGCTGCTACAGGCCCAGACCGCTGGGTGACCTCCCATGATGCACTGCTCTGCTCTCCTTCGCTCCCTATACATCTATATACCGCCACTGCATGCCATTAACTTTGAGCTGTTTCTGTCCTTTCTGTCCTCGCTCTGCAGGAATCTCTGGCTGGAGATTCTTTTTCCTGATCTAAGGTTAAAGTTAGAGCCTGACTGTGCAGATTGTGGGTTTAATTATGGGCTGCTGGACTTTAAATTAACAGGTTTGGGTGATTTGCTGTGCAGGACTCACAAAAACTTGGATCTTTACCTGCAGCAGTTCCAGGAAAAAGTCTCCCGGCAGGTCGCAGTCTTTGAGCTCCGCCAGCAGCTGCATCAGACACTCGAGCCGCCACTGTTCCCCCGACAGCTTCTCGTACAGCTCGTCGTCCTCGTCGCTGGGAGCAGAAGAGGACGGTTATACCGGCGGTCAGAAGACAGATCTGCGAGCTGAGTTGTTTTATTTTTTTACCTGCTGCTTCCTCTGCAGCTCAGTCTGGCTCCTCCATCGCTGCCCGGCGTGAAGCGGAAGTCGGACGCCACCTCGTTGTTCCGCCGCCGAAGGCCTGAAAGCTGCCTGAGCGCCGACAAACCCGCAGAGGACTCGGCGTGGTTCAGGTACCACAGTAAGATCTCCTGACAGGGGGTGCTGTGGAGCAAACAGGGACTCCTCAGACTGGATTTCACTCTCAACAAGTGTTAAAGCTCTCAAGAAAAACGAATAAAAGTAGAACACAAAGGTTCAACACAAGTAATAAACCATTACCGCAGGTGGGAGACGTTCTTCTTGGTGAAACAGAACAGCGTGAAGACGACAGGGAGAACTTCTTCCAGAGCTTTGAGGAGGGGAACCGACGGACTGTTTCCAACCACCCAGATCTGACAGGAGACACAATGAAACACTGTGAGCAGCATGACGAGGGTCAAAGAGAAAGAAAAACACAGCGTCTGTTTCTACATCTGCATCAGTTCAACCGTTAAAACACATTTGTGACATTTTATTCATTTAAAGCTGCACAGATTTCTTTAAATTCACGTTTTCTCACAGTCCAGACTGACTCCCATCTGTCCTCTAAAAGCTACCTGCAGAAACATCTCCTCCTATTGGCTGCAGGTGTGGCCTCTGCAGCCAATCACAGCGCTACCTTGTGAATAATGAACATATCTTTATGCTGCATCTTTGTGCTGAGTAAGTAGGAGATGCAGCTGGAGATGTCAGAGTGTGTGGGGGAGAAGAACTCCCTTGGCCTTGGATTCGAGGCTTTGTGAGACTGCAGAAGCTTTACACAAACAACTAGCAGCGATTTAACACACTGGAGGAACAGAAGGAACCACAGAGAGCAGCTTTATAACAAACTAAAGGGAAAGAAGGAACCACAGAAAGCAGCTTTATAATAAACTAAAGGGAAAGAAGGAACCACGATAATCAGATTGGTTCCTTAAAGCTACTAGATCTTCACCTTGTAGACGTCGTCCACACACCTGGTCAGCTCCGACTCCTCCACTGCAGCCTGAGAATCGTCCTCGTCTGGAAAACAAACAAGAAGCAAATTATCACCCGAAGAAGAAGTAATAGAAGAAGAAGTAGAAGAAATAATGGAAGTAGAAGAAATAATAGAAGAAGAAGAAAATAATAGAAGAAGAAGAAATAGAAGAAGCAGAATAAATAAATAATAGAAGAAGAAGAAGAAAAATAAAAGAAGTAACAGAAGAAGAAGAAATAATAGAAGTAGAAATAATAGAGGAGGAAGAAGAAATAGAAGAAGTCATAGAAGTCTAAGAAGTAATAGAAGAAGAAGTAGAAGAAATAGAAATAGAAGAAGTCATACAAGTTGAAGAAATAATAGAAATAGAAGAAATAATAGAAGACGTAGAAAAAGAAGACTCAATAGAAGCAAAAAGAAGAAGACAAAGCATCTGTTCTGTGACTTTAGCGTGTAACTGACATGTAGAGATGCAGATGTTGCGTTTACTGACCGGATGCGGTGATGCAGCGCTGCAGTGGAGCCAGCAGGGGGCAGAGCAGGTACTGCTGGGCCAAGCTGGGCCTCTCCTGCACCACGGAGAGCGCCGCCCTGGTGGCCACCCGCTGGAACTGCTGAGCTGTCAGCTTGTCTTTGAAGTGCAGCAGCTCCAGGATCTAA